TGGTATCTATGGCAGGCCCCGTCCTTCCACTGACAATGACGATGACATTTGGAGAGGGAGCAATCTGCACTGGCCTTTACCTTGCGCAGAATGCCGCACTGCGATTCTCTATCGCGGACGTAGATATTTAGGTGTACAGTATTTTTAAGCTGCAAGACCTGAAGGCCGACTGACAGCCAATTTACAACGTCGGAACATATGCAAACCAAAGGGGTAAGCCTTCTCTCAGTCAAGCGTAGTTCGTTGATAACTGGGACGAAATCACCATCTTTCATTGAAATAGTTATACAGCATTTAACGAGCTCCCATGTGTGAAATCGTGGCCTAAGTTTTCAATAATAATATTTCAGTTCAGCAATCTTTAAGGTCTCAGACTTCAAGCTGATGATAGTAATCTTATATGTTTTCAACCTTGCATATTTCTGCCTTTTTGGTGAATCATTGTACTCAGAAGTCCGAAAAGCTGGAAAAAAGTATATTGTCAACTTGTTCCTTTAACAAAGGTTTCGGATAAACTAGGTTTTACAACATGATTCCATGTATCCACGCGCCAATATTATAGATTGTATCGATGTATGTAGGATGGGACAGTCAAATTCGGACAAACATCCGTTGACTATTTGTCGGAACTGGCTTGCACTCGTCCGCTACTGCTGGTATCAGGAGCGAGCCGTGGTTTTCTCAAACAGAAGAACCATTTCATCATGGCGAAAAACAGTGTGTCGCTTTCGAACTTTGAGTGCAGGTCAGCTCGTATCCAATAGTTTTTATCTGGAAGAGTAAATAAAAAATAAAAAAGTAATAAATTTTTTTTTTGCTGGAAACAAATGACGCTTTTGCCAGTTTTACGTGTGTTCCGGAGAATTCAAGGAAGACTTCCATGAGGTGAATTGGGGGATCCTCCATAGAACTCCAAAAGCAATTGGAAGTCTTTCAAAATGGCGCGAAAAGCCTTTTTTGATGTACCTAAACCTTCTGTACAGAAATGAACGGCTCTCTTAGAAAGGACAATATCAACTGCCGCTTTGGTCATTCAAATAAGCTCCAAAGATTATCTTTGTGGGCCTTTTGTGCTGCTTTTGAGCCTTTAGGGCGTTTTTAGCTTTTGCACTTTTGGATTTGTTGACGACTTTTAATGTAAAATTTAAATTCGTGAATCGAGTGAATTGATATTGAACCGAGTTGAGACCTGCCAATATCAAAATTCAAGGAGTAATATTTGGAAGAAGTTAGGTCCCGAATCGAAGTTGTAGTTGAAGTTAATAGTAGTTATATTAAAGAAACATGACCGGGAGGAATGACACTTCTAGAACACGAATGAAGCACAAGAAATGTAGTTGAGGTATCTGCGCAACGATCTTATATGATATGAAATATTATATCGTAAAACCCGATCTACATTCAACTGCTATATATATATATATATAGGATTGAAGCGGTTTACGCGGCACCACCATAACACTTAATGAATTTCGTTTGGTGTGTGAAGCTAAACATCGTTAGGATACTAAAAGCATGGATAGTTAGAGTAGCGACCATTTAAAGTGGAAGCTCACAGACTTTATTACTTCCGTGATTTACTTCAGATTTATTGCGGCTGTGATTTGGAAACTACTAGCAGTGCATCGTGTCAAACGGCTCTAGTCAGTAGTAAGGTTCCTATTGGCACAAAATCGCTTGCTTTCAAGTGGCTTTAGACTTCGCTTAGGCATAACGTTTGCATTAAGTACTTAGGTCGAGGGGCATGGACATGATATCGCCGATGAAGTGGTCACCCAAGCGAGACTAGATGAAGCACTTCGGTCTGCGGTACATTAGGTTGACTGAGCGAAGCCACCCACACGGAAATACACTGACGCACCGCCCGTATGACCTGGTGGAGCTTTGAACGATATCGTGCCACTCTCAATTTTAAACCTCCCTAATCGACAATGGACTCACTGCCCCGTACTAGTTAGACGCCTTCTTCAATTTCTCCTTAGGATGTATCTCGGTTGTTATAATGCTTTTTGGATACCTCGACCACCGCCTTTTGATACGACACGATGGACTGTACTCATATCGAGCTGACAACCGAACGGGAAGCACCAAATGCAAGCATATAAGCAAAGTGTGCCTAGTTCATAAGGCTTATTGAGTCGCATCAGCCATCTACAGACCATAACTAAACGAGGTAAATTATACGGTGTCTGGGCTGAGCGTCTGATACGTTTCCAAGCGAACTGGCAAAGGCAGATAGAACGGGTTGGGCATGTAAAGCACCGCAAACAGCTTTTCGCCAAATCCACTCATCGTTCTCTTTCTGAAGACAAGAACAGGCACATTGTTGTATTGAAAGATGGTCAACGTGCATTGTAATCGTAGAGAAGCAACGTAGCTATAATATTTAGCACGATTGAAGCCACCCGAAACAGCTACGCCTATTTGGGAGCGATTGTCGCTTTTTCACGTTTTCGGAGTGAAGTCACTTAGGAACATCCGTTAAACGTATGCGTCTCAACGGCAATCTATCATGTGTCAAGACTGGCACATACAGTTGCAGATAGGGGACGCCTCTCATACGGACTCATCCTTTCCAACACAAATGAGGTTTAGCAGGACCAATCGCTCTCTTTGTGTTTTTTGGTGAACTAGTAAACTATCGCGCCTGTCTGCGGGTCTCTGTCGGTGTATGTGCGAGCGTGTCTTGGCGGGTGTGTGTTGCCTCTGAGCGTACGTATATTGTTCTTTGCGCCCATTAGAGAGGGCGTGGTTAGAGTCATTACAAGCAAACCGGTAGTTGGTCTGCCTGCTACCACCTGGTGCCGCTGACGGCCAGGCCGAAGGCGAAATGCGTTCGTTTGCTACCCTTGCACATATACATATATACGTCGAGAAACGTCCTTTATCCTATTCACCATCATAACAATCAAGAACGTACCTTTTCCACATTCAGCGTATTGTGCGAAAATGCGTTTCATTTAGTATATCTACTTTTTCCTGTCTCTCTGACAAGGTGCTAGTGCTGAGCGAAGTTCCGAGGAGGTCTCGAATTTGTTTCAGTCCCATTACCAATGCAGTTCGCGTTGATGTGTTGATGTGCTCGTAAAGCGGCATCTAAAACGGTACAAAAATTGTTGCATGATAAGCCTGCTTTTTTCGTGCCGCATCGTTCGGTCGTACGTCAAGCACAGAGTCAGGCTTATCGACGGACAAGAGCCGCTGGAACTGCTGAGGCCGTTATTAGCAGCTAGTAGGAGCAACGATCAGACGTTAGCAGTCACTTTACCACCACTCTTGTTGCTGCTGGCACAAGTTAGAAAGGCGAACAGCTTAGAGGTCGGCTGTAGGTGCGGATGATGGGCAGTAGCAGCAGCAGCAGGCTGTAATAATTAATTCTCGATGATTTCTCAGCTCATCAACCCTCAAAAGCTGCCCATATTTGCAGAACCTTCGAGACGAACTGGCCCAGCGTTTAAGAGAACCGTGTGCGTTTCAACAACCGTACTAACAGAAACGGCAATGATGAGCTTACACGTAATACATCCTAATGCTAATAGAGACATTTAGCGCTAAGAGCTAGCTGGCTGCGGCCTTAACATATCCAATTAATTTAGCCTTTTCTACAGTGTTTGCGATTCCTTAAACAGCGAGGGCGGATTCTCTGAGTTTACTGTCAGGGTACCGTACGGAAGACAATAAGAAAACCGCACTACGGCATCAATGCTGCTCTTAGCTATCTACGGAAGAGAATATGCTTCACTGCTGTCTCTCTATAAGATCCTTTTGCTGCACCTTGTGAGCTAATCTTATTGTACAGATGCACACACGGTTGTGTTTTGGATGGTAAAATACGTAAAAATCAAGATCAGGCTCAATTCCAAATATATAAATATGTATATTAAGAAGTGTAAAAATTGCAGGAGACATCTCATTTGAATGGCAAAGCAGCGTTGAACCGACCGGCAGCGTGAAATATGGCGTCATCTCATTGTCAGCGCGTTAGCCGAGGAACTGTTTTCGCCGCGCAATGTATTACGCTTTTCCTGTTATCTTTCGTAACCTTATGTTAAAGGTCATCATTGCATCACAATAGTTTCAGCGTCATTAAAGTATACGTATCAAACATTAATTTATCTGTTAGTTTTCATATCTTGATTGTGTAGTGAGTTGTCACCAAGGTTCGGCCTTCTAAGGTGAGCACAATGCGTATGTAATGTATAACTGCCGTGTTACTATCTATTCTATTATCAGTATTTCTAAATTCTTAGTTTTCTTACGCAGTGCCCCTAAAAAACGTCCCTTATATGGCTATGAAGCGAAAGGCTTGTTCGTACGTCGGCCTGCAAGTTTATAATCACTCTGTACCTCCGAAGCGCCGCCATTTTATAAGTGAAAAATTATTATTATTATTATATAGATTATTGATCATTTAAAGTACATTATCACTTAAGCCTGTGCAACACTACGCAAAATTAAGGCGCAACAAAGATAGCCACCAAAATTTGTTGCTTAAGCTTTCAATAATAGATCGGTGGAACTGATTTTTAGTACGTCAAAGATTTGAATAGCAGAATAAAATATTTATTCGAAATGTGTTCGATGTTTAGGAGGTCTGTAGTGTCGTTCGTGGCGCTCTCTAGCGGGGAGCCAGGTTAGTTCGGAACGATGCGAAATCAAGAGAAGAAATGAGGATCAGTACGCAGTGAGCTTCGTCGAAATAAGCGCAACCGTTAGAGCTGTGTCCTTTCTGAAGTAAACCTTTGCCTTGGCGGTGTCTGATCGTACATAAACATATTACTTAAGCACTTCGTAAAAAATTAAAAAGCCTACGTAGTGTAATATATGTCTACAAAAGAGCCAACGAAGTTTCAAAGGAACAAGCTCCATGCCCGTACCTTTTTTCAGTTTTGGTGGAAACAAATAATTTAGGTCTATATTCAAATATATTTGGAATAAAAATATGGATATATAGTCACTGAAATTTCCACAATTTATTTCCCTATCAAAAAAAGGTGTTGCTAAATAAGCGTTTTCCGTACCACTCGCGTAACCGTATGCCATTAGACGGCTAGTTTCCAACACAAACCTTGTCTGCGCTCGGTTTCAAGCCCACGTGGTCTTACGTGCCATCAAGTTTAGTAGACGAATACGTTATGATCGCATCCTTACGAGGACAAAACAGGAGGCGCTACTAGAGTATCTATTTTAAACTGACATATTTAAATTCGGGATTATCGTTTAACTGGACGCGCGTTGCTAGCCCAATGTGACGTCGCATGTTCGGCTACTACAGTTTCAATTTCAATCCAATCGAGTTGGTTATTGTTTCAGTATGAACTGCGGAAAAGGTTTTTCTATTTTGTAGTCAAAAAGGGGCTTTCTTTGTTCTGTCACAGGGCAGCTATATCAACAAACGCTAAAAGCAGAATTGATTCTGTGAAATTTTTATTAAAATAAAATGTCTGAACGGGATTAGTACGAGATTAACGCGCAACGTAGAAGATAGAATCCGCTTTCGACCCACGCAGCCAATCCTGGAGGCTGCTGGGTCTTTGGTGTCGCTTCCTTGAAGTTGACCTGAACGTGATTCAGAGACAGACACAAAGGATGAACGTATCGAAGTTATTACTTAAATATAATCTAAATCGGAATAGTTGTTTCTTTAGCCACACTGTTGCTTAGATAAAACTTCAAGATAACAAGTTCAGAAGCAATAAGAACTGGCCAGTATTCCAATACAATAGTAATGAATGATATCCACAAAATTTTAATATACTTCTTACATAAATTTGAAGGTGATGAGAATTCTGTCTATGATTTTACAGTAGTATGGTACTTCTATATAAAATTTCACTATCAGCACCTTCTTATGAGTTATGCTGAACACTAAGCGACAAGAACAGAATTTCAGAAGAATAGAACTGTCTCATGTGAAGAGAAATGTTTGTGAGTACGTTTGAACAAACTTTAAATTAACTGATAATGTAATGAAAATGATAATAACATAAAATTATCGGCACTTTTCTTAATCGGGCAAAATTTATTTTGTTAACTAGTATTTCGCTAAATCCTCCAAGGCTGCAACTGCTTCAAAAGCCCCTGCAGGGAAGAATCCTAAATGATTCGCTTGTGCCACACTTGCTCCTCCCGACGGTTAGGCTCGCCACAGGGATTTTGTTAGCCTTCAGGCAACTGTATTAAATAGGAAACAACATGGGCTAAGCACAACTAAGTTTTCACAATACGATAAGTGTGAACCAACATAAAACGTTCTTAAAATGTAAAGTGTTGCTCGGCATAAGAATGACTTTATTTTTTCATAGCCGAACAGCTAAATCGATTTGGGGAGATATCCGTATGAAAAGGAACTGAGCACCGTTATGTTTTAGATGCTTTTTATTTGGCTTTCGATGACTCTTGGACTGTAGAGTCGTCTAGCTGCCATTTTGTAACATAATGATTTATCTATATATAATCTATATATAATAATATACATAACTTGTTTTTTAGTTCTCCTAAGGAAACACTGCAAATAGTGCATCATTCTAGTTCATGCACTGGAGCTTAAGCGAGCAGATCTCTCTCATGTGAAGTTCTGCATTACATATAAAGCTCTAAGAGAAAAGGATTCCCTGATCTTGTATGTAGCGTAATTACTGGAATTTCAATGTGTGTAATCCTATTTCTACGAAGAACTTGTTTTTAATCTCCCATCATAATCAACACTTCGGCTGAAGTGCCGCAGATGCCGCGGTCAGTTAGGTACGATATGTTATTCTGACAGTTGTAAAGAGCGTTTTGATCCGGTTATAGGTCCTTAATAAAGGCTCATCACAGTCGTCCAGTTATTGATGACTAATGACTCAGTGTGCTATACCGTGGATGGTCTAGTTACATTACTGGCTTTATTGATCTCCCATTGATTAGATGCATCTTGCACAGTGGACTGCTATAAATTGGGTGCCAGTTCAATGTAGGAAGCTTGCTTTCTTCAAACGAAGCAGACGGCCATTTTTTTTTTGAAGGACTACGCCAAGTGCGCTTTTCTTAGGTCCAAAGTACTTGTTAATTTTGAAATGCACAGACTTCTTTAGCGGCCTTTTTTACTGAAAAGAAAAATAAACGTTTTACTTGTAAATATTCTGGATCAACCCTCCTATTATACAGGCACAAAGAAGCAATTACAGGCGAAAAAAGAATTATACATCGAGCTTTATTTATTGGACCACACGTGTCGTGTAGTGTATATCTCTACGGAAATGAATACAGTTTCATTTAATCAGTTTAGGGGTACTTTTTTTTACTGTGCTAAAACGTTTAAATAGCCCTCCAAAAGCGGATCACTTCAGAATATTGCTGGATTTCTCAAGCAATATTTTGTAAATATAATCGTTACCCAAAACGTGTCTATAAAGTTCGTGTATGAACATAGACGCAGTAGACTGTATTCCTCTGCTTGGTCATAGATGGCCGACAAAAGAGAATGCCTTTAATCTAATGTGTCACCGATATCAATCGCGTAAATCTCAGCCACAGTTTTTACATGGTTGTTAAAATTGAGGCCATCTATTTAAATTAGACGTCGATAAGAAACTAATGGCATAATCTTGTTTATCACCTACACAGTGACATACCTACATATACAAATATTATATAATTGGCATATTTTATGATCATGAATAATACAATGTAAATACAACACGTTTTTTCTTAATTTTCAGAATTATATATCCTTGAACAAAAACAAACTCTTTACTGCATACGTTTTTCACCAAAATCATGGGTCAACAGTATGCTAAGATTCTCATAGCTGATATATTAGAATATTTATCGTCTGCGTGTCGAGATGTGTATTGAAAATATTATACTTCTTTTATTTCTAATTGCCAATAGCTAAACTATGGGTTCTCGAGGATGACGTTATTCAAACGAGGGCATTTATCAAATGTGACTCCATTTCCTTCTGGCACCTTTGAGATGATACGTAAGGCTTTTTCAAAGATATGATGTCTCAAGCTTTGGCCTTAATTCTCTTAAGTAAGGTACTTAAAATCTTTTATATCTTTGAGACTTTTTGTATCGACGCTCCGAGGGACACTCATGCCTTGCAGGCGCTATTATACGAGCCTCAGTACCGCTTCAGCTATTACCAGAATCTACATCTGGATATTTATATACATATACAGTTGTAATGAATACTGATAAGAGTCTGTTTCAGACAAATAGTTCGTTTCGAAGAATAGCATTTTGCAAGCTCTCAAATCTATTGTATTTGAAACAAAGGCGTAAAATTAGCCTAATTTGGGCTAGCTAGCCGTTACTTAGAAAGGAATGATGTGGAAAATTGTTCTTGTTCACTAATACAAAGATACCGTACCTCTTTTAGCTACCTATATATAAAATACAACCCGATGTGCGATTCAATGATTTATTAATAATACGATAGAGTAACAATAATCGTAAGAATAGTCATTGCAATAATATTATGGCAATCATTTTTGTTGTTGTTTTGGGGACGTCATAGGGTCGGAGTCGCCGTCAATAATCGCGTGGCGATTCATCCATCGTCACACCAAACATTCAATTCAATGTAGGGTCTTCGGTTTTCGCCTTTCGGTCATTAGACAATGTTTTTTGAGTTTTTGCTGCGATATATATATATTATATACATATATATCTCATTTCAGCGAGCCTCGACGAGTAATATTGGTATCCGGAACATCCCCGTACCGAATTAATCAATAAATCATCGATCAACTAAGTAATCAGTAAACCATTAGTATTTTTATAATATCATCGTTCAACATGTCTTTCTCTTGTTATTATTAGTTTCAGCATCGTCGTGATACTTGACGTCATCATTTCTAATAACTATGTACAATCATGGACAGTCGCCAACCTCGCTAAGTCGCACCCATAGCGTACCGTCATCAATCACCATCTACCTCATTTCCCGTTATCGTATCATTTCACTTTCTTTCTTTCTTTCATTATTATTGAACTGTTAATACTATTTTTATTATTATCATCATCTTTCATCATTATGGGTCAGTCTCCTCAATATTCTCTTAGCATTCGCCTATAATTAATATTATCTTGTTAATAGATCCATAATATCGTATTTATTATTATTATTATTATTATTATTGAATAATTATCGCTTCTTGCTAATTTACTGTCATTAGTATAGTGATTCGTATTAAGCTCATCATTTTATTCTTAATGTATCATAGGTTTTTACTTACTGGGAATCATGTTTCCGTCCTGGATATTTGTCATTTTGCGTTTATTTACTTTTTATTACTATAAAAAATGTTGCGGCTTACTATACGTGCATTAGTGCGTTTTATTATTTGGGTTGTTGTTGTTGTTGTTGTTGGCAAAAAATAAAGCTAAAAGCGTATTGTTGAATACGGTATTCACTAGTTCTGTAAATAGGTGCTGTTTGAAGAAGATCTTATTTGACACCTAGACATTATAATTATTAATAAACTCCTTTGTGTGAGCTCTCATTAAAGTTTAATGTCAATTCACTTATTAGCTAATTGTCGCACATCTAAACAGTTTTAGTTTGAATTAATTCCCGGATGTCTAGGTAAGCATCTACAATCAATCATAGAGTTCGGGCAGTGTCCTGCGAGTTTTCGAAGTACTTCTTATTCCCATCGTTCGATGATCTAAATGAAAACCGAATTTCGATTTGCGTCTGCTTATTATGCCCGTTGGCAGTTTTGTTTGATTACGGTTTTGTTGTAGTGCGTTTGCTATTAACTGCTTCCGAGAACTGCCATGGGAGCTGAAACTGAGATCGGTGTACACTTTTACAATGCGACCGTGTTACATTATACAGGTGGGTGCAGCTAAAGCTGAACACATGCACTTATTTTTCCGCTACATGTTGATTAATATCACGGTTTTACCACGCCGGTGCAACGTTTGTTTATTTATAAGATGGCTCCTGTTTAATACCACCTGTGCATAATAATGACAATCTAATTAATGTTATTATCGGCGAGCCTGTCATGGTCAATCACTTTCGAGCTTGACTCAAATCAATTACTTGATTATTGCCTCTGTGTCACTTTCAATTTGGTTTCTGCTTGTTGATGTAACAGTGCTCCTCGTTATTGTCGTTTAGGTATAACTTGATATAGTAGTGTGTCGTTATTTTCGCTTTGTGAAAAGATTCTCGCTACACTAGAGATTAACGAAATACATTGCTACCATTATTTTTCATCACCGTATCTATGTCATCATCCTTAATCATAAACGTATGTATGTATCTTTATGTATTCTATGTTGAGTGTCGAGGGGTCCACGCATTCATATTCGAGTATAGTTTGACTATCAAGTTGCTATAAGGTACAGCCGGCGTGATATAGAACAAGCGACCTCTCTTATCTATCCATTTCAGTAACAGGCACTTGTCAGAAAACTACCGCAAGCCCGGCCGCTCCTGCCAATTTACCACTCCGGTTCGTCCGTTAGAAAACGAAAACGAGAGACTTATTAACTTCCTTGCCATTAAATGAGTTTCAATAACAATAAAGGCCGAACAAACATGCTCATTGGACCAT